TTTCCCCCTGCCTTTTTGCCTTCATGGCAGCGGGGGACCCCCAGGAGGCCTCAGAAGGCACCGTGGGGGTCCCCTCTCCTATGCTGCCGCTGGGGATAGAAAAGGGCAAAGCCCGACTGAAGCCATCGCCTTGGCGAAGGCTTGGATCGGGTTTTGCCTATGTCTCTCGCTCTATCCCCAGTGGCAACATGGGGGGGAAGTGATCCGGAGCCCACACACATGAGTGGCCGGGCACCAGTGTGCATCAGCCTGTGGAGCTCTGAAGCCTGTAAAAAACACGTGCACAGAAAGAGAGAGAGACATACAGACACACAGAGTGCAGAAGGAAAGAGCAGTGTATTGGGAGCTCTGAAGCCTGTAAAACACATGTTGACAACTCCAACGGCAGCAGTCAAGGTGGTCTACAGCCAGGGTTCCCAATCCACAGTTTGTGGCCTGGTACCAGGGTGTGGCCTTGACAGGACCAGGCCAGAGACAGATCTCCCACTCGCACGTACATCCCCAGAAGGTCTCTCAAGGGCTTTCCCCCGACATCGGAGGGAGCCCTTGCAGACCTCCGAAGGCAAAAAGGCAGGGGGAAAGGATGGGAAATTCCATGTGTTGAGTCGCATCTCTGATATATTTACCATCCCATCACTTCAAAACACACATTGTAGGCAAAGTACGCTAGATTTTGTAATACAGCCATGTTTGTACTTACTCACATGCAGGTGCTGCATTAAGCATGCTACTGCAACTTGCTACACAGTAGAGCTGCCTGGAGTACGATGTACGTGCTCTGTAGTTTTGCAGCCACATGTGTTTCTGGTACTTATTTTTCATCTCTTGGGTTGCAGAACTAGATAAAAGGTTATCTTCAGGTTTATTCATAATGTATGTTGCACGTCTTTATCCTCACTTAAGGACAGAGTAAAACATTTGTTAGTCTGTCCTCCAGGGATATGGGATACATATCGAGAAAATGTTAAGTTTGCCCCCATTTCCTGCTTTCAGGCTTCAATGCAAGACTCAGCTTCTGTGCTAAATGGATAAAGTGCTTGTATGGTATCTGTTCCCCCCCCCCCAATATTGTAGTTACTTTATAATTTTTTCTAATATTGTATTCTTATTATGTCAAAACTTTAAAGTACACAGTGGCTGAAATCCTGTTGCTTAGTGCAGTCGTCCCCTACCTTGCGCCTCCAGATGTTCTTGGACTACAACTCCCAGAAGCATTCACCACCACCTCTGCTGGCCAAGATTTCTGGGAGTTGAAGTCCAAGAACATGTGGGGACCACTGGCTTAGTGTGTAAGTTTAATCATAATGTTTTATTCATTCCTCTCTAGTATACAAAGCATCCCCAGTATAGTTCTTCAGCATATCCTGGAGAAGTGCGGCAAGGACTTTTTTTACTGGGGAGGAATAGACTAAAAGTTGCATTTGGCTTATGTTAATTAACAAGATTTCAGCAGTTGGAAATTGATGTTAGTTGATGACAGATGTACCAGCTGCCCTTACTTGCCCAGTTTCTATATCTTCGTGTGTTGTACCATATATTGGTGGTCCCCAACCTTGGGCCTCCAGATGTTCATGGACTACAACTCCAGAAGCCTTCACCACCAACTCTGCTGGCCAGGATTTCTGGGAGTTGAAGTACAAGAACATCTAGAGGCCCAAGGTTGGGGACCACTGCCATACATCATTTTCTGAAACATTTCTGGATAGTATGTGTCTGAGAGAGAGAGAGAGAGAGACTGACAAGCCAGATTGAGAAGCTATTTTAGTGGGTTTTTTTTCTCCCCACCCCTCTCTTCATACTATTCTTCCTGTGTGCCAGATATTTACATGATTTTGAATCTTGAACAAAACAGATGATTCTTGACTGTATAGTAGGATGCCTGTGTCTGTGGGGGATTGGTTAGAAGCCCACCACCACCACAGATACTTGGAAACAATATATTGTACATGTAAGGACAATAACTGAGGCTGGCTGGTGATAACGATATTCTGCAGGGAAGAGGGAGTTGCCTCAAGATCCTGGGAGACTAGGCAAAATAGTGGCGAGTTACCAATATAACATACTTTCTCGTTCCATCTAATGGCCAGTTCTGGTAAATGCTTCATATAAACACATATTTCTGGTTTTCTAATTTAATATTTTAAATATTTTCAGATTGTGGATAAGTAAAACTGCGGCTACTGATCCCCTGGGGATGGGGGTCCTACTCTATATTGTTTCTGTCAAAGTGATAGTACTATTTGTGCAGGGGATTTGCACCACAACAAACGAAAGGGGTCACTATATTCATCTCTTGCAGAAAACTGCATTCTTGAGATGCTGTAGATAGCTATGTTTTTCCATAGTACATCAGTTTCTTTATCCTGCATAACAAGCAGAAATCAAATGTACCTTTTGTGCCTTCCTGTCACCAGGGGCTATAGGTTTTATTATAGCTTGTCTGGTAACTTTGCTCTTTTCCTTACATATTAGATAATTGCCTTTCGTAGATACTGTTGCATAAGTTTCCCCCCACTAGAATTCTGTACTAAAACTGTACAGAAACACAACTCTGGATCAGGATTCAGCATTCCGAACTGATCTTCGGCAGTGACCAATCAGAGTGTCTCTGGAATGTCTCAAATAGAATGTAAATATGGTTGTTTGTCCCAAGGATTTGATATGTTCATTGTGTATTTTGTCATTGCATGTAGATGATTACGTACCTCTGTTAAGAGTGTAGCAGAGAAATTCTGTCTGGCCTTTAATAGGGTTCTGTGTGCAGAGGGGGGCGCTTGTGCACATGCACGGATGGTGTGAAGTGTGTTCGTGGGGTGTGCTCACATACATTCGCAGATGATGCAGTGTGTGCTTGCGGGTGCGGGGCACTTTGTGTGCATACACGGATGGTGCAGGGCGTGCTCATGGGGTGGGCGCTCACACACATGCGTGGATGGCGCAGGGCACGTTTGTGCGCATGTGCGGGTGGTGCGGAGCATGCTTGCAGGGGTGGGGCATGCTCACAGGGGCAGGGTACGCGTGTGTGCGGGTGGGCCGGCTGAGCGTGTGGGGTGGTGTGTGTGTGTGAGGTGGGGGTGGGAGATCTGTCTCCGCAACCCGGTCCTGCCAAGGCCACAGACTGGCACCGGGCCACAGACCAGGGGTTGGAGACCCCTGATAGAGTCTCAGAAATGCAGCAATGCTTGCAATAGGTGATCAAGTGGGTTTTTTCCTTCTCCAAGTTTTTTTACTTCTTTACATACTTTTAAAGTTGTAAGATCTCTTATGTGTCTCAGTTCTGAAGTACTACTTTTGAATGTCCAACTGTATTGCAAATTTAATGTAAAGAACATGACAGTATGTTGACAAGTGAGAAAAGGACAGCTAGAAGAAAACAGGGAAAATTCCTTGACATTTTTTTCAGTAAATGGATTGATGTTAGAAGTATAGATTTTTTTAAAATTCTGAATTATATTAGTTCTGCCTAAAATTCATTGCCAGTACTTGTTGAAAGAACATATCTTATTTTTATCTTCCTTTTATCTTAAAAAATTGGTTGTGTGTTATGATTTTACATTTTTTTCCTCACAATGTGAATCTTCAAAATGTGATCTGAGAAAGTATTCACATATTCATATTTGCTTTTTCTGTCTTTGTTACAGAGCATTTCATGAAAAACCTCTGATTATCTGAGCTCCAGCTGCTGCTGCTTCTGATATCAAAGCTGAGAAATAGTACCTCTGAAACCATCATGTAGCAGATGGCTACCATGCTATCAAGCTTCCTGCTTTTAGCTAAGGTTTTTGTGTGTTCAATCTCCATGCATTCAGCAATGAATGAATCATTTGAATGATTCCTTTTTCTTCGACAGTGAATGAATTTTGTTAGCTAAAATTTAAATTAGATTTTACATGGTGTTGGTTATATACTGAGGAACCATGAGTAGTAATCTAGGAAAAGAAAAAGACTGTAAAGAGAAGGAGCCCAAAGTCTCTTCAGCAAAAGAAAGAGAGAAAGAAGCCAAGGCCTCGGGTGGATTTGGGAAAGAGAGCAAAGAGAGAGAGCCTAAGACCAAAGGGAAAGAAGCCAAAGATGGGAAGAAGGACTCCAGTAGTGCACAGCCAGGTGTGGCTTTTTCAGTGGACAATACAATAAAACGACCTAATCCAACTCAAGGCGCCCGTAAAAAATCCAGCAATGCCGAAGTGATCAAAGAGCTAAACAAATGTCGGGAAGAAAATTCAGTGCGCTTGGACTTAGCCAAGAGGTCTATACATTTGCTCCCATCATCTGTCAAAGAGTTAACACAATTAACAGAACTTTATTTATATGGAAACAAACTTCAGTCCTTACCGCCAGAAGTAGGCTGCCTTGTGAATCTGGTGACACTGGCCCTGAATGAGAACTCTCTCACCAGCCTTCCTGACTCTCTTGATAACTTGAAGCAACTTCGCATGGTTGATTTACGGCACAATAAACTGAGAGAAATTCCTCCAGTGGTGTACCGGCTAACTTCCCTTACTACACTTTATCTACGCTTTAATCGTATCACAACTGTGGAAAAGGATATCAAAAATTTGTCAATGCTTATCATGCTAAGCATACGAGAGAACAAAATCAAACAGCTACCTGCAGAAATAGGTAAGAGCCTAATTCTCAAATTGTGTACAGTACTACATCTTTTTCTGTGTGTTGAGCATTGGAAAGCACATGATCTTTAGATACTTCCTGTCTTTCATTACTGGCATGATTATATGTCTGGTTTTAACAGTAATTATAATATCAGAATGAAGAAATTTTATTGACTTCATTGTGCTTTCCTCTATTATGTACTGGGCAGTACTTGGAGTATTAATACAATTTGTATTGACTTAATTAATTGCATGTTGCGCTGATTTTCAAATACTAAGAAACACAGCTTATGGATGAGAGTTGACTCTCCAAATCCTTATTGATATAGTGATCTACCCTAGTATGATGCTATACTAACGGAATTTTGGCCACTGAGTTCCTTTTTTTTTTTTGGCTTGGAAATTTAGTTCTAAGCTTTCGGCACAAATAAAGCCCTGTACTAGTAAGGCACAAAGTTCAGAAGGCTGCTTTTGAAAACTAACTAGTTACACTGTCTCTCCCCCCCCCCATTTGTTACCACTGTCGTTTTTTTCTAACGATAATCCTTTCCTTTGTGTGTGTGTTTTGTTTTCTTAAAGAATCTCAGAAAACTTGAGTTTTGGGAAACCTCTCAGTGAGATATCTATGTGATATATGCAAATATATAGATAGATTGTGTGGGGGTGGCTGAGTTGTTAGTCTCAGCTAGCACCATTGAATAAATGGGATGTGTGTTAAGTCAGCTTGTCCTCTGACAATTAGAATGTGCGTTTATCACTAGAAGATCTGTTTAGTAAGTCTGTGAATTATCTATAGATACTGGAGAGCTTTCCAACTCCTTCCTTATAAGTCATAATACTGAAACCTTCCCTGTTCACAAAGATGCTACTCACCTAACAGGTGACTGTTGACTGGATGAATTTTAAGGAACAAAATGACAACATTGGCAATGCAGTGCACATATCTCCAGTGTTCAGCAGTAATGTTATTGGCTGAAATTTAGGACTTCAGCTAAAATTATAAGTTACTATCATATTCTACATCCTCTCGAAAATAGTCCTTCCTTTGTGTAGGTCTGGGTTGAGACTTCCTAGAGCTCTGCTCTGTATTTTGATTATTTTGCAGCTGTCATAAGACTAGTAGGCGTTGTTAGCCACTGTAACCCCAGATGATGCCACCAAAGAGCTCCCACCCACCCCCTGGCTGTGTAGTTTCTGTTATCCTCTGGTTAAAATGGGAAACCTTGATAACAAGTAGTGCTGAAAGCTATGTATTCTCTGAAAAAACATACCACCTATGTTTTATATCTCCTTAGGAAACTCTTGTTCAGTTGAAGCAGCAAAAGGAAGAGTGGGATAGAAATGTGCAAAATGATAGTGAGTCACAGACCAAGCATGAGAAGTATGAAACATCACATGAGAGTATTTCTGAGTGAATTTAGCTCACTCTTATAATATTTATTATTAAAATATTTATTATTTTATTTTATGTATTCCTTTCTCTGTGAAATAACGTTTGGGGTGGTTAGTTTGGGAATATTGTGCTAACAGGTTCATTATTAGAGACACCCCACACATTTGGTTTACATTTTCATGCTCAGCAGTTTTGTTATTCAGTACAGTACTTATCTTGTGCATTTCCAGATTTTTTTTTTTGAAAAGGTTATTAAATATTCCTATTTCAGTAGCATGTTTAAGAACCTAAAGAGACAAAAGGTAGATGCCTTAACAAATAATAAATGTGGGTTGGTTTGGGAAAATGAAAGAAAAATAGACACAAACCCCGGTGCCATCTCCTAAAGTGATGTGAGACACCTTTTGAGATTTTCAGTAGAAGGCAGTATAACTGTAGTTATGATATAATATTTCTGGTTAATGTGCCATTTAAGCAGAAATGGTAAGATAGCATGGAAGGCTACTGCTGTGGATAGAAGAAGGAAGAAGTTTATATTGCTGTTTATTTGGCTTTGGGGTCTAAATGCTTCTGTCAGCCCCTAAACCGTCCCTGTTCTTTTAGAAATCCCGCTCTTCTCTCTCATATGGAAAAGGAAAAGAAGGGACTGTCATGCTACTAGGTTGTAACATAGGTATGAATATGAGAGACCCACTGCTCCAAAGTCCAGCATGACGTAAAGATCTACACTGGTGACACTAGAGATGCTGAATTTGGCTACAGAATCCTGCTACTGGATTTCTACCTCAGCAGATGAGAGTGTTCAGATACCAGAGCTGCTACTCATTGTGTAAGAATAAGCTGCAGAAAACTTATAAGAGAGAGAATAGGAATTAGAAAAAGAATAAAAAAGGACAGTTTTAATAAATGCTTATTAAAGAAACATTTTAAAAAACCCTCATATTTATAATGTTCTTTTCCTTGCATAGCCTGAAAATGTTCTATCCTTTCCTTCTGTCATCTGCTACAGATTTTGTCATGATGTAAAGGATTTTAGAATTTTCAATCTGCTTAAAGGGAGAGACAGAACACCCAGTTAGGAGAATTAAACCAGTGAAGAAAAATCTGTACTGCATGTAAGGTTTATGCTCATGGTTCTTTTTTCACCAAGTAAATAATTGCCAGGATAAATTTCATATATTGAACATTTACTGTATCTGTCTTTTTATATGAGAAGCATATGTGAACATGATACTGTAAATTTTCTTTTAGAAGAACTGGGCTTTCCTCAAACTAGAAGAGGTGAATGTGTTTTCTCTCTCTTTCTCTCATTGATTACTTTATATTAACAATGTGAGTTTTGTAGAAAATGTCAAATTGTAAGTTTTGCTGTTTTGTGGATGATTTTTTCAATGCCTTAGGAGCATAATCAAATTTACCAAGATATTTGACTTGTATTTGCTAACCCTAATTTTTAGTGTCCCAATGACCAATACTTATTTGAATTCAGACAGTAGTTAATATCAGACTAGAACTAGAACTGGGATGAACTGAGTTCAAACCATGAAGTTCACCCCTGTGGTCTTTGGACATTTATTCTCTCTTAGCTTTACCACATTAATTCTCAGCAGGTCTGCATTCTTGATTTCTAAATCAAAAACACATCTGCAGACAGTGTGTGAAGAAACTGAGAAATTGGGGAAACATGGATTGGGGAATTCCAGAAAATTCAGATTCTTCTTCGTGGCCTCTGTGAATGCACACACTTGGGTTGTTCTGCACCTACACAGGACCTCTTGGAAGTTTCTAGAGCTTAAAGACATGTGATTAGTGGGATGTTCCCCGTGGTGCACCTTCTTCGCCTGCCTGCTCTTGTCTTGACTATTTGAGGGAATTTGAAGGCTGATTGGCAGACTATCTTGAGAGATCTAGAACAGTGCTTTCCAGCCTTGGGTCCTCAGATGTTTTTGGACTACAACTTCCAGAAATCCTAGCCAGCACTGTGGGAAGCACTGGTCTGGAAGGCGATGAATATGCTATAAAAAGCAGTTCCAAACTTACTTTAGTTGTCTTAGTTAACTCTTAGGAGACACTATGCTCAATTGCTGCCCTGTTATGCCATGCTGGGAGATTATGCTGCTGCTACAGTAGTATGTACGTTTTAAGTAGTTTAGTTAGCTTTCTTATTTTCTTGTGTATATACTCTTTATTGCTCCCAGCTCAGGTGTTAATTGACTGTTTGTTCCAGAATATGTTTGATGTCTTTTTAAAGCCTTTTGAAACTTTTTCCTTTTTCACTATCTTTAATAAAATATAAACAAATTCTCTGTTCAGTTGTCTGGATTTTTGGCTAAAATGGTTTGCGGTACTTAAAACTAGGTCTTGCCTTGACCAGCTACACAGATTTTTTTTTTGTGTGGGTATGGTGGCAATTCTACCTTGCAGGGTTGGTGTGATAGTCAAAAGCACTTAATTTTGTGGATTTTTTTGGAACTTCTGAAAGCACTGCTTAGACAGGTCAGACTAAACTGGGGAGATATCAGGAACAGGCAGCTTAACTTAGCCATAACCCCATTTGACTCTCATGGCCTTGCCAACTCAAGGATCAGCAGTGTAGTGTGGCTAAGCGATTTGAGCAGGACTCAACCCAGTGGTTCCATCACCCTATGAACCTTAAGTGGAGAGTCAGTGTAGTTAGAGACACAGTATTTTGAAAAACTTCAAGAAAAGAGATAAGACACTGGCCAGAATCTTGTTGGTGTTTTGAATAAGGTTTGCATAACTATGCCTTACTGATGAGGTTCGGGGGGCCAGCTTGTTCATATACCTGGTTGCAGGCTCAAAATACACATATGAGATGTACTCTTACACCTTGTTATTAGCCCAATTAGCAGTTGAAAGTTACGGAGACCTTACATGAGCACCAGTATGGTTTGGACCACTGGTGTATCTGGTTAAAGTAAAACAATAATGAACCAAAGGTTTAGTATTAGTTTTGGTTTGACATGCAAAGAAAAAAAATAAATTCATGTTGATTTTAATTTGGATTAGTTATGTGAATGGAGAATTACTATTCTGTTTCCAAATCAATAAAACATGTCTCTATACTCACAAACACTTTGTAGTGTCACCTGAAAAACATTAATTTCATAAGAGCTACAGCAGAACCAATCTAGGTTCTGGCTTGAGTCTTGTTTAATGACTTTGTACAAGAATGACTTTGCAGACTCAGAGAACTTTGAAACTTTCAGACCTTTCTAATATTGTACTGACACTTTTTAGTTCTTACTTGTGAATGTTGTGAAAGAGTTTTTAGAGAAATGGAAAATTTTCTGTGGGAAAATTATGACTGAATTTTTTTTCTGTCCCACATAACTGTAGTTAAACAGGGGAAACATTATCTTTTGTATCATTTCAGTAGTTATTGAATCTTCACCATTTATTCTCATTGTTAGTAAGGCAGGTGGTGCACTGCCTGGGGAATTCCATGGTTGAAATAGTAATTACTATGCAGTAATTTCAGTACCAGGTGCACAAAGTTCCCTAGGCTTTTAGACATCACTAATGTTCTGCATTTTTTATTCTTTGCTGCCGTGAGATTTCATTAACAGCTTTATCTTTCATTTCTCTATGATCCTTTTAATAGTTTATTTGTTTTGTAATTTTAAAAAACTCTTTTCTATCATGGGAAGTGGTGAGTGGGGTGGGGTAGCATGGCAAGGGTCTGGA